AATCGCTTGAACCTGGGTGGCAGAGGTTGCGGCGAGCTGAGACTGCGCCATTGCACTCCAGCCTGGGCGACAGAGCAAGACTCTGTCTCCCCCCCACCACCAAAAAAAAAAGTGAAGTTGATTTTAATAATATATTTGTTGAACTAAATATACCCAAAATATGTAACCAATATAAAAATTATTGCGGTAATTTACATTCGTTTTATCATCCTAGTCTTTGAAATCTCAATTCAGACTAGCCACATTTCAAGTGTTCAAGAGCCACAGGTGATGACCATATTGAACAGTGCAGTTCTAGAGTCACTGCCACTTTAGCTAGCTTTTAATCCCAATAAATTAACTCAAAGTGTTCTAAATCGAAAAGAGGGAGGGGATTTTAGGAATCTAAAAGAAACCTAACACAGAATAGTGTGAACAAAATTCTTGATGATTTTAGCCCTAGAATTGAGCTAAATCTCTTCATAATACAAAGTTCATAAAAACTACTTACAACATTGATTAAGTAGTTTTCTAAGCTTTTTTCTGGCATTCAACATTTTCCTCTAACTGTCCTGAAAAACATGGTGCTAAAAAGATGTGTTAATAGAAAATAAAGGGAATAGAGGAGCTAAGTTAACAGCAACACAAAGAAATTATCAGATACACTCATAACGTAGGACACACTGAGACAACTGGTGGTCTGGTCTTTCTCCAAAAAAAAAAAGGAAAGGCTGGGCACGGTAGCTCACGCCTGTAATCCCAGCACTTTGGGAGGCTGAGGCGGGCAGATCACCTGAGGTAAAAAGTTTGAGACCAGCCTGGCCAAGATGGCAAAACCCCATAATCCCAGCATCCCAACATTTTGGGAGGCCGAAGCAGGTGGATCACCTGAGGTCAGGAGTTCAAGACCAGTCTGACCAACAGAGAGAAATCCCATGTCTACTAAAAATACAAAATTAGCCAGGCGTGGTGGCGCATGCCTGCCCAGCTACTCAGGAGGCAGAGGCAGAGGCAGGAGAACAGCTTGACCCTGGGAGGTGGAGGTTGCAGTAAGCTGAGATTGTGCCACTGCACTCCAGCGTGGGCAACAAGACCAAAACTCCATCTCAAAAAAAAAAGCAAAGAGCAGTTCTAGATGAAGAAAGATTAGATAATGGTATCAGGATCTTCCTAATTTTCCTAGATGGAATAGTATTTTAGTACTGAACTTAAGTAGGAAAAAATCCTTATTCTTAGGAGAAGCATGTTAAGTAATTGGGAGGAGGTATCTTGATGTTTATAACTTATTTTCAAAGGTTCGACCAAGAAAAAAAATCTATATGAAGCAAATAAAGCAATTATTAACAGTTCTTGAATCTAACTGATAGCTATATAAGTAAGCAGCCATCATACTCTTTACTCTTTTACATACTTTTACTCTTTACATCATACTGTCACTTTTTGTATGTCTGAACATCCTCATAGATTGAGAGACATAGGCCAGGCATGTGGCTCACACCTCTCAACACTTTGGGAGGCCAGGCCGAGAGGATTACTTTAGGCCATGGGTTTGAGAACAGCCTGGGCAATGTAGTGAGACCCCATTTCTTAAAAAAATTATTTTTAATTACCCAGGCGGGGTTATGCATACCTGCAGTCCTACCTACTCAGGAGACTGACGTGGGAGGATCACTTGAGCCCAGGAGATGGAGGCTGCAGTGAGCCATGATTGTGCCACTGCACTCCAGTCTGGGTGACTGCAACACCCTTTCTCCAAAAAAAAAGAAGCAAACAAAACAAAAACAATAATAATAATTCTCTCTGTGGGTAGGTCCTTACTAAGTTTTCCTAAAAAAATTAATTCCAGAAGGAAGCCTTAACAACATGTTTATTTTGATTACTTCCAATGTCTGGCCAACGGGTAATAACCACCTCCTATGCCATACATGCCAAAGGAATCCACCAGTAGATACAACTGATGTTTTCTACAGTTTGCAAAATTACCTGATAGTGTATTGTTAATTTCCAGATACTGTCACTTTTGTTTGTCTTGAACTGATCAACGGACTGTAAGAAGGCTCTGCAGCTCAGCGCTTAAAATAACTTACCATGGCCAGGCATAGTAGCTCATGCCTGTAATCCCAGCTACTCGGGAGGCTAAGGCATGAGATTCATTTGAGCCCAGGAGGCGGAGGTTGCAGTAAGCCAAGATCATGCCACTGCACTCCAGCCTGGGTGACAGAGCGAGACTTCATCTCAAAAAACAAAACAAAAAAAAAACACTTACTGCTATCAATTATCTATCATATTGTCTGACAAGAGGGAAAATCTTATTTTTTATTTCATAGTACCTTCCATCTAGACTGAGGTTGGAGGAATTTTGTTCTAGCAGTGGGAAAGCATTTGCATTTAATGTGTGTGTGTGTGTATATATATATATATATATATTTTTTTTTTTTTAGTAGAGACGGGGTTTCACCATGCATTTAATGTATAAAGACAAAACAGCGGCGAGGCGCAGTGGCTCACACCTGTAATCCCAGCACTTTGGGAGGCTAAGGCGGGCAGATGACTTTAGGTCAGGAGTTCGAGACTAGCCTGGTCAAGATGGTGAAAGTCCGTCTCTACTAAAAACACACAGAAAGTATCCAGGCGTGGTGGTGGGTGCCTATAATCCCAGCTACTCAGGAGGCTGAGGCAGGACAATCACTGAAACCCGGGAGGCGGAGGCTGCAGTGAGCTGAGATTGTGCCATTGCACTCCAGCCTGGGGGACAGTGAGACTCCTTCTCAAAAAACGATTCCCCAGAGAAAGAGAGCAATAAAAACAATAGAAAAAAATCAAAACATCAGAGACAAATGATTTACATAATTGATGTGGGGCTAATTATCACTAAACAAATATAATTAAGAAATATATTCTTCAGTTTCAATTATTTTTGTCATATCAATACATTCTGAGACAAAAAGATAAAAACCCAGAAAACCAAGTTCTCTATTAAAAGTTTAAGTTAGTGACATTTCACAGCACTCTGGAGGAAAAAAAGTATGTCAGGCTGCTGAGTGTTATTCAAAGGCGCAAATGGGTTTATTTTTCAAATGGCGTAAACAACCCTCCTATGCAGATATTATTTTTTTTTTTTTTTTTT